AAATATCGCGATATTTCAGTGTATCGATATTTTCTTACACCCCTAGTGCACAGGTTGGTGTTGTCAGCCTGGCTCAGAATAAAACACTGTGAAATTAGAACCACACTCAGAGCTTCCAGAACTGAAATGAGCACACTTAGTTTTTGTCTGAGCAGCAACATGACACCTAAAAACCTCCTGTTARTTTCCTAAATAATACAAGTCAGGTCATGGTTCTCAGCGTTGCACCTCCTGCATAAGGTGAATGTACAACTTGTTTTTATTTTGATCTACTGCAGTTAGTTTGTTCATCCTGCWGCTTAGAGTTGCTTTTGCCTGTCAGTAGAGCAAGGGGAATATGACTCCAAACATATAATTAGCATGAACCTTGCAACTACAGCTATTTGTCCACACTTTATCTGCTGTCACAGTTAAGTTAGGAGTCAGGGATACTGACAGCTWCTCTTTCAAATCAACATGAGTCACTTAAACCGGAAAAAATCACAGGAGCAACTGCAGGTCAGTAACAGTATCTATTGCACAACCGCAAATAACTTTTCATAAAAAAATCAGAGATTAATTTAGAACTTTTAAACATTTATATAGAAGTATTTATGAAAAAAGAGCTTTGCAAATTTGAATGTCATAACACGTGTTTAAAAAGCTCGGATGTTTGTGTATCAGTTTTATTTTGGCACAAAGTTTTTCTTTATTTTTAAAAGCAGGTTCTTTCTCTTTGTTTGGACTTGTCAGTAATATGAAACAGATACACTAACAGTCAAAGGTTTGGGCACACTAGACCTTTTCCTTCAATGTTTTGAGAAGGTGTTYCCAAACTTTTGATTAGTAGCAAATGTCAGCATTGAGRAATCTGAATCTATGAATTAATATARACTACTAGAGAAAAAAAATGCRTTTAAATGTATCTGAYGTAATATACATGACCCAAAACTCCTGAGTTATATATTCCAGATGCAGACTTAGAATTTCTTKTTTTTTATTGTTGAGTATTATGCAGTTTCAAAATAGCTATTGTTKAGAGTTTTGATGTATTATTTATAATTACTTTTGACCATGATACAAGATGTTCTGGTGCCAGTTTGCTGAAAGAAAATGACAAATTTTCAACCACTGATGTAWAATGGTTTGTTTGGATAGGATCTGTCCTAACAAACCTGGCAATAAAGCGTGTGTGATTAGAACAAATGAGAACACATCAGTATTGGCTTGACCAATCTAGACGCATATGTTCTATAAAGCACATTTTTTCTTAAATAAAAACTCCAGTGGATTTCACTAATAAATCTCCTGTATCTTGAGTTTGCTGACAGTATTTCCAGCTTATGAGTCATATTGCTAAATGTGCAGAAAATAAAAATGTTTTTTTTTATACATATTTGTTAAAAATGTCACTATGTGCTGACAGTACAACATGAGACAGATAATCTGATAAAAATATAATTCAAGTCAATTCAATTCAGTTTATTTATATACTGTAGCGCCAAGTCACAACATAYGTTGTCTCAGGGCACTGTACATGAAAAAAGAACAATCCAAAGAAGAAGCCAGCAGATTGTGTTGAATCACTTCATCACAGTCTCCCATCCTGAGCAAACGGTGGAGAGGAAAAACTCCCTGCTAATCAGGAACAAAGCTCCAGCATACAGTATTTTATATATATATATATATAA